GATGGTCTCCATGACTTGTCATCTACCCACGTGCATTCTGCCACACTCTCAATCACTTCCCAGAAAATACGGAGAACATCTCTCCCGTATTGAAATGACTTCCCCTCCAGTCGCCAGCCAATACCTGTCAAGCGAGGGATGGCTCAACCTCTAGCGTGCTTTCTGCCACGCTCTCAATCACTTCCCGGAAGATGCAGAGACCCCCTCTCCCATACCAAAGTGACTTTCCCTCCAGTCGCTAGCCGATATCTGTAAAGCGAGTGATGACTCGGCTCTTAGCCCACACTTCGTCACCGCCTCTCTATGCTTGCTGGGGATGATACATTTACCCCCATCATCATCGTTATATAGAGAGGTATGCTCCTAACCTAGGGTGGGGGGTTAGTCTCTCTCTCTCTCTCTCTCTCTCTCTCTCTCTCTCTCTCTCAAAAACACTCTACACATAGGGAGGCCAGCTCACAAAAGCTCCTCCCTCTTCTCTTAGAAGAGCACTCTACACACAGGGAGGCTAGCTCACAAAAGCTCACCCCTCTTCTCTTAGAAGAGCAGACTGCACATAAGAACCACACCGGTTTTCTAGACCTTCCCCTTCCCCACTCAAGCTCACCGGCAGACTTGACCGTCGGAGGAACTACGAGGGAACTGGTCCCCGCCCTCTCACGGGTCATTTTTCTTCTTGTATGTGCAGCGTGGCCATCAAACCCTCATTCAAGAACCAGGTATAAAGTCGGAGAAGGAGGCGGCCACTTCATCAACCTCCTCTACCTCATCCCGATGAGGACCCCGGAGGAACCGATCCCATTCCGGATCCGCACCGATCCCAGCCTGGATCCGATTGACCGTGTGATCTTAGTCATCAACAATAATTAATGGTTATGATTAAAAGTAGTGGTTTATCTACTACTTTTTTGTATTAGAGAGGATCCAAATTTATTACGGAATTAACTTTGAGCGACAATTTTGATCATGTCAACTAATTGGCAGAATGAAGAGTCGTCTCATCTACATTTCTAAATAAAGAAAATGACAAAATCATATTAATCATTAATTACTTATATTACTATAAATACTCAATCTAGCATAATGTAAATACTCAATCTAGGAAACTGTTAAAAATATGTAACATGTGGTACACGGAATGCAAACTAGTACACCATGCAATTGAAGCTGTAGATAACAATATTTGGCATAAACTATGTATTATTTGTCCATTTTATCCACAATTCGCAAATAACATGTCAAATCCTTAAAAGTTTAAATTTTAAGGGACTTTTTTTTTCCTTTTATTGTTAATGAAATTGAAAATATCATCATCGTAAGTGTGTCACCCGCTCATTGGACTAAAGAACTCATGATGATTTTTGGACATGATGATCTAAGTCATGATGAATTTTAATTCTTTTGATGTCACTTTGGCTATTCATGACTAGAATAAAGTTGTGTGCGTATAGTTCCTAAGACGCAAAGTTCACACTACTCAGCACTAACTTAGTCTTATACTTTTTATACGACATCATGGCTAAAATAATCACAAGTAGTACCTCGTAATATTGATGTATCTCTCACACTAGTCCAATGAAATGAGTAGGAGTTGGCACCTTCATGAGACTAGTTAATTAGAGAATACCTAATGCCTATGACTTTCATAAGAAAATTAACAAATATCTCAAGAAAATAACATCGGAGACAAGTTCTAGTATGCATCAATTTAGATTTGTCTTATGACATTAGCACTTGCTCAGCTTGCTAGTCTAGAGAAAGAAACATGAAGTAGAAAAAAAAAGCATAATTGAGAAGGCCAGGTTGATTAACAAGTGCCTATTGGCCTAATTGTGTTTAATATTATGCTTAACTAAGTTAAAAATAATTTTAAGCATGAATGAGGATTCTGTTAGATCTTGTACTTTGGAGGCAGCTTTTACACATATATTTCCACCTTCAAGCAATGATAATATAACAACTCGACCTTAAACAAATACCAGTCTACCTGTCACCTAAAGTATAAGTTGAAAGCTTGCACTCAATAACTATATGATATCCAAGACTTAGCAGTCTACCTGTCACCTAAAGTATAAGTTGAAAGCTTGCACTCAATAACTATATGATATCCAAGACTTAGTTAAATATTGATTTAAAAAAGTATAAGTTGAAAGCTTGCACTCAATAACTATATGATATCCAAGACTTAGTTAAATATTGATTTAAAAAAATAGGCATTTGGTGATCAATTATTGTTATGAAGACCAAAGCTAGGTAGATAGACAGATAGCTGTCTAATTAGTTGACATACCATTTACAATAAATAAAATCTTTCATGCTATGGCCATGGATTTTTTTTTTAATAGTCAAAGTTAGAACCATGATTTAAACAAATACTTTATAAAAGGCAGTCATTCTATTGCTCAACAAAGGCATATCAGATTTCAGATAGAGTCATGGAGAACAAAATGATCCAATGCTTTTGGGGAAAGCTACATTGCTGGTTTAAAACAAGCTAGGCTATGATACAATACATGCGATATAAATTAATTAATTAATACAATCGGGAAAAAAAAAACTCAAACCCTCACCTGATTATTGAGGTTTGGCCAGAATTTCTAACAAGTAACTTATTGCCATGTACGTATTAAATTTTTGGATAAATTTCACTAAATCCGTAATAAGTTTGGGCCTTTGCCACTTAATTAACCCCCCAAAAGTTTGAAGCTGTCACTAAAACTTGGGAACTTTTAGAAAACTCTCCCAAACATTTTGATATTTTTCACTTAACCCGAATGACTACTTTATGATGTCTATGCGATCAATATTCTCTGTTTGGGAAATCAAGGGTATGGACTTACATCGTCATAAGTAAGGGTTAAGCAAAAAGGTTAAAAATATTTTGGGGATTTTCTGAAATTTCTGAACTCATTAGGAGTTTAATAAGAGTTTTGAACTTTTTTGGGAGATTAAGAACCAAAAGCTCAAACTTGTCTGAAGATATGTTATAACTCAATAATCATGTTTACGAAAATGATTGCAAACTGGGACTAAATTTGAGTATTATATATAGTCAGAAAGAAACGAGTTTTCTCTTAATTTTAACATTAATTTGTTATGAGAAAATACTAGTAACATTTGAAAATACGAGTCTTCTCAATTTCTAGAAAGAAAGAAAATTAAGAATGACAGAAGAAAGTTTAAGTAGGAGGAAAGAAGAAAGTGTAGCTATACCCCCCTTAGGCTCATAGTAGTGCCTTTTTTACCCCCTCAATGTCTAATGTTTAGCTATAGAGAAGCCCCTGTTGTTATATAAGAAAGAAAGAAGGGGGGAAAAGTGTCATAATTTAAATAAATTTGGGTCTTTAAATTTTAAACTCATCGCAACATGGTTAGTATTAGGTCAGATATGTTGGAGTTATAATAAGTGTAACTTAAAACTTGACATTGTAGTGGGAAAGTTTAATCCCACATAGGAAATGGAATAAGAGGGAAGAATGTTTATAAACATTTCTCTTCTCTCCTATGCCTAGAAGTAAATAAAGGTTATGCTCCACACCACACACACGCGCGCCGGCAGGACCGGGCTCGGGGTCGTGCGGACACGAATGCAGCTCCTGATTAAAGGGCTCTAAACCTGCTATATTTTGTTTTTGCTAATTGGATAATTAAAACATAATTAATATGATGAAGATTAAAAATGTGATTAATAGAAATATTTTGTAACGAAAATGTGATAAATATTTTGCGGATTTATTTTGTAACTGAAATATTTTGTAACGGAATCGTGATAAATATTTTGTGAATTTATTTTGTAACAAAAATATTTTGTAACGGCTAAGATTTATTAACGTGATTAAAAACATGATACATGGGCAAGTAATTAAAATATATTAACTGTGGATTTATGAATAACGATTGTTTTTCCCTAGAAAAGGACCTAAACCTGCAAGAGTTTGAAAAAAGTGAAAACACAACAAGCTCTTCTTCTTCTCTGCTCTGTTCTTCCTCTTATGTTTACTTGCTATTACATTTTGTTGGTTCCCTGAAAGTCGAAAAGAATTCGCAAAGCCTTCTTGAAGCTCGTGCCGACGAGAAGGAGGTCGCCTGACCGAGGGTCGTTGTATCTCCGAGAACTTTTGTCGCGTAGCCCTGTATGAGAGGGGGCAATTAGATTCTTGGGATAGTGCATTGCACGCCTCGACCATCAGGATGTATTTCTAACCTTTATTTCTTTTTGTTTGAATTATTTCTTACATCTGTGTTATAAAATTAACCCATTATTATCTGAAAATTATTAACTAGATCTCGTGCTAATTATTGTCTAAACAGCTAATATTCCCAACAAGATATATGTGTAGTACAACCCTGAGAAGAAAGATGGAAGCTTCTCTATAACCTGCTTCCAACATCTAATTGACTGAGTCATGAGAAGATGTTCAGCACCATTCTCATTTTCGGTTTTAATATGAAAATCAGTAGACCGAATATCTTTAAAACTAAGAAGGGTATGTTTGGATTCTGGATATAATAATGCATCATTGATAATTAATTTCGTACCCATAGGAAGTATTAGTGAAGCTCTGCCGGAGCCTACTATCAACACATTGTCGTTAGGGAAGTATTAGTGAAGCTCTGCCGGAGCCTACTATCAACACATTGTCGTTAGCAATGGTGGTTACACTTTCTTGTTTTTCAGTCAAAGTTTTGAAAAAATTTCTATCTTTTAGGATAGTATGTATGGTAGCACTATCTACCAAGCACAAGATAGTCTCCTTCTCCATGGGTTGTATGCGAGAGTGTCGTGCTATTTAAAAAATACAATATTCATATAAGCACAACAAAAATAAGGTAAAAGCATAATCATTTAAACAAACTCATACGAACTTGAAATTATCTTACAAAAACATGTAAAATAAGTCTAGAACAATTCCAAATTATCTTAACAAAAGCAACTAGAACAAGTCTGAAAAAACGAAATGGACTAATAAAACATGCATAGATAGTGATAAATAACATGATCACTCTTGGTCACCAAAATCATTAAGCTCCATCTTCAATAAGTCATCATCGTCCAGAGTCATATCTCCCATCTTCAACAGGTTATCATCATAATTGTTATTTTTCAGAGTCATGTTTGCTTCAGGCAAACTGGCATGATGTTTCTCACCTTGTTTTGTCTTCCCCTTTGAGTCCTTCAGCATTCTCCGATAGGCCTCAACCAAATGTTTTAGTGTACGACATGTGTGAGACCAATGGTCCTCACATCCACACTGATAGCAAGCTTGCTTGTTATTTGCAACTTGTTGATGAGAGTTAGGCTTGTGTGAAGGAGATTTATCCTTGTTTTGACCCTGGCCACGGTCCTTAAGGCCATTAGCATTGCGACAACCACGACCCCTATCACCACGATAAGACCCGCGACCACGTCCACGACCTCTACCATGTCCACGCCCATGAGTATTACTCTGATTTGTGGCATGTGCTTCAAGCACAACTTGCGAACCAACTGGTCTAGCATTATGGTTGTTCATCAGAAGTTGGTTGTGTTTCTCTACAACTAGTAACACAGAGATCAATTCAGAGTGTTTTGAATAGTTTTTAGTTATGTACTGCTGCTGGAGTATAAAATTACTTGCATGGAATGTAGAGAGGGTATTTTCAATCAATTCAGCCTCTGTAATGTTCTGCTTACAGAGCTTCAGCTGTGAGACAATGTGGTGGAGAGTTGAATTTTATTCAGTCACGGATTTAAAATCCTAAAATCGCAAGTTCAACCAATCATACTGTGCTTGTGGGAGCATAATAGCCGTCTGTTGGTCAAAGAGATCTTTCAGGGATTGCCATAGAACAACAGGATCTTTTTCAGTAAGGTACTCATTTTGTTTGTTTTTGTTGAGATGGTGACGAAGAAAAATCAATGCATTTGCCTTCTGGGCAGAGGTGCTCTGAAAAGCTACAACAATAGTGCTGCTTAAATCACAAGAATCCAGGTAGATTTCAACATCCAAGGCCCAAGTCAAGTAATTGCTGCTATCAACAGCAAGCTCAGCAAATTCCCTTTTGGTGATGTTAGACATTGTTCAGAAATGCTATAATTATCATTAGAAGATATATCAATCCACCAAATTTATAAAATATTATACTATACAATGTGTGCATACAAACAGAAGCAAATAAATAAAGGAGCCACAAATCATTAGTTACAGTGCATGCCTCTGTTCTAATTAGCTAGGACAAGTGATCAATCAACAGAAGGTGTGCATTTGCAAATTGTATTAAACTAGACTGCATGAAATCAACATATAATAAATGGTTTATATGCATGTATATTATATAACAAATATGAGAAGGGGGAGATTCTATATATATATAAACAAACAAAAAGTGAATGTTTGTTTATTTATTTTTACAAGATGAAAAGAGATTGTATTCATAATAAGACCAACATGCATGTTTGTGTGTTTATAAAAGGACAACTCAAAAAATATATTATCATCACATGATTCGTATAAAAACAAACCAAAGAATTGCATATCATACTGGACATAATCATAATCATTCGACGGAAAGCTTGATACTATGTAAAAATAGACAAAGGCCGAATGTATTATTACCTTGCAGAAGATGTACACCTAAAAATCTATTACTACGAACCGATGATCACGAACCGGCTAGAGCCACTCGTGCTAATAACGTATTGTAATATACTAAAGAAATGAAAACAATAGACAAGAGACAAGAGAAGAAGAGAAATTGTAATTTTTATTTCACTTCATCCATTTCCATACATGGTACAATTTATAGATACATGATAGAAGATAAAAGGACATTGGGCTAATGAAAAGACACCAAGTTAATAGTCCACATACAAAGTAATGTCCACATACATTTTGTCTTTTAGATTTCAACACATAAACTGTATTTTTAAAAACCAGGATAGCAGATCATGTATAATTGATGACCTACAACATATTTAAATGCTAACACCTACATGCATGTTTAGGATATTTTTACCATTAATTAAGAAAAGGAAAAGTCCATTAATTGCCCATAAGGCCAATAAACACATGTATTCCATTTCCATAATAAGTACCCAACATAAAAAGTGCTCACCTTTCAACTCTACTCCTCTACAAGTCTCTATCCTTCACTAGTCAATTTGACAAGTGAGTGGGCTGTTTTAATTAATGTCATAACAAGGGATTTAAGAGCCAACTACCTAAGGCAAGAAAAGTGATTATGATCTACAACTAGTAAGGCAATAATACTTAAAAATCTTATAATTTTATTTGTCTTCTAAGAAGCTAAAAATAGTTGTCGGGATCCGCTAACAAATTAAGTGGTCTCTCTCCCTCAAACAAAACAAATATATCCAATTGACGTTGCAATTGATGGGCCCCACCCACAAATTTGCATGCTTAAAAGGTCATCTCCCATGATCAAAGGGAGTGGCATTGGTCTTCAATCTTCATGCAAATTTAAATTTCAAATCGGTTGCCAGTTTAGCTAAAAACCAAGGGGTAGATATCATGAGCCAGTGACTGTGCCCCCAAATAAAATTTGAATTTACTGCTTATATATATAGTGAGGATGTTTTTTATATTTTTGGTGTTGTAGAAAAAAATCCATACATGCTATATATGATATATGTCTCTGTAGTGATTGTTTCTTTGATATTCTTTCTTTTTATTACCAATTTGTGAATATTATTTTTCCGCTGCGTTGCTAACACAAAAATAGTAGGATAAAGTAAGATATTTTAGTGCTCATTAGCCAGCTAAAAGCTCCACTCTCCTCTTTTCCCCTCCTTTGTTCTCTCTTGCTCTTCATAGTAGGGGATTTGGTGAACACCTCATGAATTGGCCACCCCACGTGCCAACTCAACGGAAGAGCAACAAACACAAACAACAACAAAAACAAATTAAAAGCTGAGCAGTCCCGCTCAGGTCCACGCTGCCCCACGTCCCCATGCATGCGGTCGGATCACCTCCCCTTCCCATGTGCTACACCACTATATACTCAAAATTTTACTCTCCATTGTAAAAAAATTAATTTCGAAGTGGCAATGTTGTGATTTTGTTACGTTCGGTATACCAATGTGAATACAAGAAACGCAAATAAAATTGCCTAATTAATTGTCGTTGAACCACGTGATGAGACCAAAATACCAGAACTTAAAAAACGAAATGATAATGAAGATATTGATGTTCGTATATATATTCATATAAATCGCTTTAGGCAATCAAATGTCATATGAAAAAAGTTGTTTTATAAGCTTAATGCTATACTGCTAGCGCTTATAAATCATAATACGCTGGGTGGAAACGAACCGAATTCGAATCGAACACCATGGTATTCGTATTTGATTCATATTCGGCTATTTGAATTAGTATTCAAATTTGAAACAAATAGGGAATGCGTGTTCAAAATTTGTTTTGATTGATATTCGAATATTTGACAACTATTTGTGAATATTCGTCAACAGTTTCTATGTAGTCTTTTGTGAATTATTCATTTCATACTCAGTAAATATTCGATAAGCATTTGTTATCCTATTCTAATCCTATAATGCAACCAAACATAATACAGCCAATGAATATACAACCTGGTGATAAATGTAATATTCACAAATAAAAATTTACTTATATGAGTTGTATGTGTAAAAAAACATTTGAGATGCGTAGTGTTGATGTTAGGTGATCACACAGTCAATATGTATCCGCGTTTGAACGAGTTTGTTTAGGATTAATGATGGACTGCTTTCTTCCCTTACTTTATATATGGTTCTTGAGTTGGGTGTCTGAAAAATATGCACGTGTAGAAATTCGTGAGAGAACGGGGTTTGGTTCCCCCGTTATACCTCCGACAATCAAGTTAGCTGATGAACTTGAGTGAGATAAAATAAGAATTATGAGAGCCCTTGTGTGTGTGCGCGCGCGGTATGATTTACAAATTTAGAGAATTTTGATCAGAATTAGAAAACAGGCCCCCTCCCAAATTGAAATAGTACATGTATATATACCAAAGGTATATGGGTAGATTGGTCACTTCGACCGAGTACTGAGAGGTGGTGGCGAAGTGCAGGCTGGCGTGTCGACTGGTTATTGGGGAAGGATCACTTTAACATTGAATGAGAAGTGAGTGGTGGCATGACGGTGCCCCCACGTGGTCCGATGAGTCATAAAGGCTATTGTGGCTAGAGATATGATGCGTCTGTCATGCATTAAATGCGATGTTGACATGTTGCTAGAGAGAGAAGCTCGAAGTGAAAATAGTCCTTTAATTTCACCAAGAAGTAACGTCTTTCGAGTCATCTTCACGAGGCGTTGAACAAATGGTCGAGTGGACTACTAACGATTCACCTTCGACAAGAGGGTCGACTCGTACCGCCTTTCGAGTCGACATGAAGGAATATTGACTCAACTAATCGGCTAAGTCGGAATCCTTGCTGGGTCTGGGTCGCTAAGTTGATTGGGGCATTGCATGTAGAAGTACGTTTGTCCGTTTTTCAAATGGGAACACCATAACACATAGAAACCATAATAAACTAAAAGAACAATTTTTCAAAACCGCCTGATTTTTTTTTTTTTTTCCAAAACCGACTGTTTTTTTTTTTATTTATCAAAATCGACCCGGTTTTGTGATTAGCAGGCTAATCACTATCTTAAATAGTCGGGGTTGGCAACCCCGACTATTTAGGATAGTGATTAACATGCTAATCACCCTTTAATTAGGGTTTAACCCCCTCCTAAATAGTCGGGGTTGGCAACCCCGACTATTTAGGATAGTCATTAACCTGCTAATCACAAAACCGGGTCGGTTTTGATAAATAAAAAAAAAAACAGTCGGTTTGGGTGGTGGGAAAAAAAAAAAAAAATTCAGTGGCGGTTTTGAAAAATTAGTTCTAAACTAAATTTTGTAGTGCTATGTGTTTTTATAATAATTATATATATATTATAATATATATATATATATATATTATATATATATTATATATATATTATATATATATATATATATATATATATTTATAATATATATTATATATATTATATATACATCTTATAGACAGGAGAGTAGAGAGATTAATGGGTATCTATATCATATAGAGGATTCTCTTCATATACAATGATGTGCACAATCTCCACAGGTGTATTTATGGAGGTGATTCTCTCTCCTACTTTATTCATTTGGTGGGAGTTTGCAACATCATTGTATAATGAGGTAATCCCTGCTCATATGACTATATGGATACCATTAATACTAATATATATTATATATATATATATTATATATTATATAATTTATACTATATATATATATATATATATATATTATATATATATATATAATATATATGGTGTGTGTGTCCGCGCGCGGCTGCGCGCGCGCGGCCGCGCGGCGAAATACATATGATATCATAGTGTAATGTATACATATGTATATGTACATATACATATATATGTATATATATACATATACATATATATATATATATATATGGGAAAAGTGAATCTAAGGTGACACCCTAGGCTCCCACCTAAGGACGCGGCCTAAAATCACATCATTCCCTAAATTTTTTTACGATCCGCTCCGTTAAACTTGATTTACACGTTCTTAAACCTAAACACACCAATTTTGGGGTGAACCCGTCGTGTTTTGACCCTTCATCCACTCGCCGCAATTTTAACGGTTTCGAATGAATAGAACTTTTTGGACGACTCAACGAATGGTTAAAACACAACGGCTTCACCCCAAAATTGGTATGTATGAGTTTAAGAAAGTGTAGATCAAGTTCAACGGAGCGGATCGTAAAAAAATATTAGGGAATGATGTGATTTTAGGCCGCGTCCTTAGGTGGGAGCCTAGGGTGTCACCTTAGATTCACTTTTATATATATATGTGTGTGTGTGTGTGTGTGTGTGTGTAGATATATATATACATATACATGTATATGTATACATATACATGTATTTGTATACATATACATATATGAATAGTTTACTAAACCAACGAATTGAATATACACGTAGTTATATTCTATTTATATATGAACCAAATACTAAAAACAACCTACTGTTATATGAACTATCAAATCGAATATGTCCCGAATACCTAAAGCGAATAACTACCGCACTATTTGTTAAACATTTGATTCGCTTCTACCCCTAATAGTAAGTGCACTGGTTGAAGAGTGCTGATCGTGCCTACACGGGCACTGGTTGAAGAGTGTCGACGTCAGACGCCGGCATAAGACTGTTCTAGTATTTGGGTTCGGACCGCACAGGATTGCATCCTGGCTTCAATATACATAAGATGTGCAAATTTTAACTACAAATGCATTTACAGAGAAGTTGTGTGTGTTGTCTGCTAGCTAGCTACTAACTATTGATGTCTAATGTTTTGAATTTCGGAGACATGCCACCATAGAAAACACCTCTTTGATAGAGTTTCAATTTCTCGAACGAGAGCAGTTGATGATGAAGTATAGAAGCTGGTTTAATTATCAACCATTAATTCTCTGCTCATCATCAAATATTATAAGCATCTATTTGCATCGTCAACTTTTGAATGTGGTAACAAACGGTAGCATTAATTAGAATTAACTTCTTTCTTCGAAGGAAATGATTTTGGCTATGTATGGGCCAGCACAGCTCCAAAGTTCCCGTGGATTTCGTTCGTGATGAAGCAACGGAAAGAGATTGTGATTGAGGGGACGTTCACTTTCTCTTCCCTCCCTCTTCTATTATTTCTCTTTTTCTCTCTCCTATTCCATCATTTCATCTATTTCAGTGAAGTAGATCAGAATCTCTCTCTCTCTCTCTCTGGATCGAGATGCTAAAATGACAAGAGATGGCGAAAAAGCTAGAATGAAACAAACACCAAATTGAGCTTGGATTTGATTTGAATGTCCCCTTTTTATAATATAGTCTTGAGTTCTAGGGAACATGATGTTATTCTCTCTCTTCACGTGGCTGTATCAATATTTACTGACGTTTGCAAGAAAAAAAACCATTAAAACATAATATACATTAAGGCTTAGTTGCATTTAAATGTTCTATAGTTTCACCTACTTCGCACTTATATACCCTCACTTATACGTGCCGACATTTATATATGCTAAAGTTTTTAAAACTTGCATTTATATACCCTCACTCGCTTGGTGAGCTCAAAGCCCAATAAGCCCCTACTAGGGGTGCCAAACCGTATCCGTATCCGAGGAAATATCTGTAACCGTATCCGTTAGGATACGAATATGGAACCGTATCCGTATCCGAGGAAATATCTGTAACCGTATCCGTTAGGATACGAATATGGTTACTCAAATCAATTACCGATAGGATATGGTTACGGATATGGTTTTGTAGTGAAATATCCGTATCCGTATCCAAAAATATCCGAATACATATTGGTAATACTCTTACGATAGTTTCGATTCTTAGATTATGGATTTGTGGTTAATTTTGATGATCAAGATGTCTAATCTTAACTTTTCAATCATAATAAACATATTAACGAACTCTTTTTGTATCACATGACTATATTTTTCTGAATACTATCTAGTTTTCTCATATCCTTTTTGTATCTGCATGCATATCCGTTTATATATCCGCGTACATATCCGTAACCGTATCCGATTTTCGCGGATATGGATATGATTTTTTCTTACCGACGTATATCCGTATCCGTATCCGTATCCGAGATGGGTAAGCGGATATGGATATGGTAAGTGTCATATCCGAGCCGTATCCGCTCCGTTAACACCCCTAGCCCCTACGCTTTACTTTTCTAATAAGTCCTTAAACTCCCATTTTAATTTATTAAGCTCATTAAAATTTATCCTACTTTTCTAAGAAGCTAGCTTTCAATCTCTTATTTCATTGTGTTAAGCCCTTAAAGATTTTATTTCCGTTCTACTTAGTCGCCATGGTGGTTTACAGCCCCAAATGCCAAAGTACTGTTTTCAGTTAGACCAGAACCGGAACATTGTGAAAAGAAAGTTTTAAAAAAAAATTTTATTGGAAGATGAAAAGCATGTGTAAACCTTGATGAAGGCTTAATGAGATTTTTCACCTTTAGCCAAACCTTATGAAGGAATTATTGAAAAAAAATTCCCCTTAGCTAATTTATAGTAATAATCCTCTTCCCTCCAACAAATTTTTTAATAAAACTACCATGCCCTTCTATAGTTATGTTAAACCCTCGTAAGAGCTAAATAGAATGAAAGTAAAAAAAAACTTTAGGACTCAAATAGATAGAAATAAGATAAATATTCTAGGGCTTCATAGGAAAGTAGAGTAAAGTTTCTTAGCTCACTGATAGACTTTGAGTTTCTCCTCTGGCAGCACCTAAACACCCTAAAATCATTAAAAAAAATGTGAACTTAGATGCCTTCAAAATTTTTAATAGAACTTACATTTAAATATTGAAGCTTGGATTGAAATTGATGATTGATAACATACTTAAAATATCCAAAATCATGCCATGCACCCCGCTGTAATTAGGGCTGAAAGGGTTATATAGCTCTATAGCATATTATCATTAATCCAATCAACTCATAACTTCTCGAGAACTGAAGCACGTTACGAAGTAGCAACTCGAGGCCAACGGAGGGTATAAACAAAGAGAAGCGAATGACCCAAAAAAAAAAAAAAATCAAGCGAGAGAGAGAGAGAAACAATTAGGGTTTTGCCCTCCCTTTGTCTTCCCAAAAAAAAAAAAAAAAAAAATCAAGCGAGAGAGAGAGAGAAACAATTAGGGTTTTGCCCTCCCTTTGTCTTCACCCTCTCCGTTCTTTTAATACCCGGCCCTCACAAATTCCTCGCTTTCCTTGCTCGCCCTTTCCCTTTCCTTTTTGCTTCCTCCCTTTCCAAATACACAAAATAGTTATTTCAAAAGAAAAGAAAATAAATAAAAGTGTAGAGAGAGAGAGAGAGAGAGAGAGAGAATAAAAAAGAAGGGGAGGAGGAGGAAGAGTCGCTTCCCTTTCCTCTCTCTCCGCTCGCTTGCGCTCGCTCGCTCTTCTCAAATCGAAATGGACGCTTACGAGGCGACTCGGGTGGTGTTCTCCAGGATCCAGGCCCTGGACCCGACCCACGCCGGCCAAGATCATGGGCCTCCTCCTGCTCCAGACCACGCCGACAAGGAATGATCCGCCTCGCCTTCGGCCCGGAATCCCTCCTCGCTCCCTCATCCTCAAGGCCCGCCTCGACCTCGCCTCCCTCCCCCGCCCCAAGTGGGCCCTCCCTCCCCTCTCCATCCCCCTGCCCCCTCCTGGGCGCCCCCCGCGGCACGCCGACGACTTCCCCCCAGACCTCGGCCTGGACGTCCGCTGGGACCCCCAGCTCCGCCGGACTACTCCTACGGCGGCGAGGCGGCGACACGGCCTCTCGTCGCCGGAGCCCGGCTTCGGGTGGAAGCCCTGCCTCTACTTCGCACGGGTTCTGCAAGAACGGCAGCAGCTGCAGGTTCCTCACGCCTCAACGAGGACAAGCTCGACGCCGCCATTCGACGAGCAGCGCCGCCGCCTCGCCGCCGCCGGTTTCGTACCCCCCCTCGGAAGCTTGCCGAATTCCCCCGTCGTCGCCCATGAACCAGAGGTAGGTGAAACGGTAGCAGCCGGCCGGCTTTTTTAAGCTTCTGACGGTACTGGCGTTAGTTCGTGGATTTATTCGACGGTTCACTTTGATTTTCAGGGCGGCTGCGGCGGCGGCGGCGGCGGCTCTGATGCTCGCCGGAGACGAGAGCAGGTTCATTGCGGCCGGCGAGGATCGACCGGAGAGCGAGTTCGCTGGATGGTGAACCCTGCGTCGAGGCAGATTTATCTCACTTTTCCTGCTGATAGCACTTTCAGAGAAGAGGATGTCTCCAATTTATTTCAGGTAAATGGGAAAAAATAAAAACTTTTTTTTTGTTTGAACTTTTTGTTGTTGTTTGGGGTTAAAATTGATTTGGGTTTGTGTCTTTTTTTAGTATTTATGGGCCAGTTCAGGATGTGAGGATCCCTTATCAGCAAAAGAGAATGTTTGGGTTTGTGACTTTTGTGTATCCTGAGACTGTGAAGTTGATCTTGGCAAAGGGGAACCCTCATTTTGTTTGTGATGCTAGAGTTTTGGTGAAGCCTTATAAAGAGAAAGGAAAAGTCCCCGACAAGTACAGGCAACTCTCTCTAATTTCTTTCTTCTTACTTGCTCTGGTCAAAATCTGCTCTTTTTCTGTAAAATCCTGAAAAGTTTGCTTTTTTTTTTGTTCATTCCCTTCAGAAAGCAGCAGCAGGGTGAAAGAGGGGATTTTTCTGGGTGTACTACTCCTACTGGTTTAGATTCCAGAGACCCATTTGATCTTGGTGAGGAACTGTCGATACCCATTTTCATTTTTTGATTTTTTTCCCTTATTTATTTTTCCAAAATGGGTAATTTGAGAAGAAGCTGAAGATACCCATTTCCCAATTTTTTTGTTTTTAGTTTTTTTTTACTGAAATTACTGCTTTTATATCAGGAGCGAGATTTATGTACAACAATGCAAACAGCAGTCAAGAAATCCTTTTAAGGAGAAAACTGGAAGAGGAGCAGCAAGCATTCGAGCTGCAGCAAGCAATAGAAATGCAAGGGAGGAGGTTTATGGGCCTGCAGCTGCTAGATTTCAAGAACAGAAGCCCAGCCATTTCAAGCCCAACAACAATCACAACTGCCCCTTCTAATGACAGGAGCTCTGAAGAATCTCCAACTGAAGGCAAGTATTTAATGATTTGATTTCCTTTTTGAATTTTTTTTTTTTTTGAAACCTTCTCCCCTCATTTTGATTTTTGCTGTTTTCAGACAAGAGCCCAAGTTTTGTTTCCTCTGGTGGAGAGCAGCAGCAGCTGAAGGCAGTCAATGCAGCTGATGATAAGGAGGAATCTGGTAGCCCCAATGAAGATAGTGATTTCCAAGAAAGGTAATGAATTAATTAATTAAATAAAATTAAAAGCTTGAGAAAATACTTTTAAATTTGACCACTTATAGGCACTAGTAAATGCTTTTAAAAGCTACTAATAAGGAAAAAAAAGGGATGAATTTGTGCACTCATTGGAAAGCAAAAGGGGAAATAAAAGTGTCTTTGTTACTCTTTCTTTTGGTTGGTCAAATGAGGCTATTCCTTTTTGTTTCCAACTTTTCTTATACTATGTGGTTAATTATGGAGAAAAGTATATTACAAAAAAGCCTTTGTCTAGCAGGATTCATTGTCAGTTTATTACATTTTACTAAAGTTTCCTCACCAATCATGATCTTCGTTATGCATAGATAATGTTGAAATATATAAAAAATGACATCACATGACTTTTGCATTAGCACTATTGTTTACAAGTTTTTTTGTGGAGTTTGATAAATTGTAAATGAGTTTTGTTTTACCATAAACATGATACAAATATTCTCCAAATTATTATTAAAAAACCCCTAATATTTCTCATATTCAGTAGTTTCATTAGAATCATCCATCACTCATCTAAGACTTGCTTCTTCTTCTTCTTTTTCCTTTCTTTTTTTTTTAAAAAAAAATCCCTCTTTTCCCTCAACAAATCTATGAAAATGTACTGGTTTTACACTACAATATAATTTATCCATCATTGCTAATTTCCTTGTTTTGGGCAGCGTGGAGCATAATTTGCCTGATAGTCCTTTTGCATCACCGACCAAAGCTTCTTCCTTATTTGCTGGGGATCCATTCTCCGCTGCTTCGGCTTTCTCTTCAGTTCCAGCTCACAGCAACGGCAATGGCAACGGCAATGCCAGCAACCTTGTTCCCTCCACTCTTGATGTAGCTTCCTTCAAGTCTTGCTTCTTCCAAACACCAAGGTACTGTGACAATGGATTCAAAAATGGAAACTATAGTAAAAAGTTCCTTGCTTTTTCACATAATGTTTCTTTTAAAATCCTTGACAGTTGGGGTGGTTATGTAGTATTCATATGATGCCATATTTCTCTATTCCAATATTTTCCTTACATAAAATGATGGAAAGATTATTGGAGGAAAACTAATGAGGGTGTTCCTTTGCATGAGTATTTTCTACAAATTAGAAGCTTTTCTTCGAAATATATTTGGAGGGCGACTAATGTGGCAGACATACAGACCACTATAGTCTAGATTATCAATATATCCAGATCATAATCGATAGATTACAACATGGTACAGTCCTAATGTACTATATGAAAAAGATGCTCTTTTTCAGTCTTAAGTATTTTAATGCCAAAGATGATGAGAAATGTTTTTTTTTAAAATTAGATTGATGAGAAACATTTGTTTGTCAGGTTGTCATCTGATCATGGAGCTGTTGGACTGTAAAGAGTGATGCTAGCCTTCTCAATTTCTAGTAAGAAAACTTGAACATTATTCCTGCAGTCAATTGATTCTCAATTCAATTTTCTAACCTATATATTACTAATACCATTCTCATTGTAATTACTTTGTGCAGGAAAGAAAGAAAAGAATGAAAGAAGAAAGTTTAAAAGGTAGGAAGAAAGGAGAAATTGTAGCTATACCCCCCTTAGGCTTATAGTAGTTCTTTTTTACCCCCCTCAATATCTAATGTCTAGCCATAGAGAAGCCCCTGTTGTCATATAAGAAAGAAAGGAAGGAAGAAGTGCATATTTTCTTCTTGACTCTATATAAGTGAATATTTTACCAAGTTACTAGAAGTATTAATATTGTTACTAGTTATTACTAGCTAGGTACTATTATTAGGGACCGACCTGCCAACAACCAGCAAGATACAGAAACTTGAAAGGAGTGAATGCGAGAGAGGACAGAGGAAAAGGCCAAAGATTTCCGACTGAAAAGGGAAGATGAGCCGAGGGTAGGGACCACTCTTTGAGAAGAAGATGAGGGCTCATGACGATGATGATGATGATGATGATGTATAAATACAAGTACTATAAATTCTCTCACATGTGTACACTGTTTATTTCTCTATTGTAGGAGGTGACAAAAGTTTAAAGGAAGAAATGAAACTAGAAAGAAGTGATATTGCATTCTCTCCCTCCCTCCCTCTATCTCTCTCTCTCTCTCTGAAGTTTCTACCCATGAAACAATCTCTTTGAAGTTTTATTTAGGTGTTTGTGCACAAGTTTATCTCCCAATTCATCTATGTAAACAATTTTACTTTCCGAATCTAGATATTTAGGGTCCGTTTGTTTGCATTATTTGGAGAGCGAAAACCTTTTTCAGAACTTTTGCAGACTTTCACCCTCCAAAAATTGCATCCAAACGGGCCCTTACAGATTTATCCCCTTTTTAGTGCATTGAGCTAAAATATCACCTTAAGGTGTATTTCGAAGATACTCATTATCTGTTAGTACTTTTCCCAATCCATTTTTTTGGTTATTTTAGCTCCGTGAGGCAGGACTACGGGTAGAACTGCAAATATGTACATATGGGGGTAATTTGCAAAAAAAGATGGATGGTTATGAGGGTGTACATGTGGGAATAGATTGTGGGTTTTTCTGCTTTGTTTTGGACTGTGGGTTTTCTGTAATATATCTAATTTTTTCATGCCTGCTGTAATAATTTCCTGTTTAAAAACTCAAAGAGAATCTAACTATTGCATAGGAAAAGGTGGAGAATAGTGAGAAGCATCCATCATTTCTGCAGCAGCAAATAAAAAACTGTGGCTCTCAGAGTTGAGTCACGTGAGTTGTCACGGCTTTTTGTGTTTTTAACTTTTAATATTTGTTTGGTTGTTGTCCTTTTGCCTCTATAATTCCCTTTACTTTATTAGAGGTCTGATGTGGCCTTTTGGATAAGGCCTGGTGTCTGTCAGTGATTGAGCTGTCCTGTGTCTTTCATAGTTTTGAGTTAATAAAAAAAAACAATGCAATTATGCATAATTGCGCCAAAGGCTAAATTATCATACTGTTGTTTACTTGTACCTAATAATCTATTTGTATTATCTCGATGTTAATAAGATATTGGGAAAATGACTTTCTAGCCCAAAAATGGAGAGCCAAATTAGTCTCACCCACAAAACTAGGTGAACAAGCCAGAAAAATCCTCAATCAACTTTGTATAGATTCTAACCCTTAAATTTAGTATCGCCTAAGCAAAAGTTTTTCATTCCTCACTTTAACACTAATTAAAGCACATGTGACATTCTCTCTTGCTCTCTCTCCCTCATCATCATCATCATCTCCCTCCTCTCATCATCATTATCATCTCACTCTTTTCTCTTCTCTCTCTCCGCTCCATAATCATTATCGACAACTTCTCGTCCTTTCTTTTCTTTTTCTCTTGCCACTCCACGACCTTTTGTACAATCACCTTGCCCTCGCTCATGGCCCTAAACAAACTCAACACTTCTCATCTGCTCTAACTCTTATCTTCGATTAGTGATGGTGGAGCTCACCCCTCCATAGAATCTCACATGGCCTTATGCACCATCATCCTCCCCTCCCCCAATAACGACCTCCCTTTTGATTTTAAAGCCTTGGCTTGATGACAATGTCAAATGCAAAGGGAGACAAACACCGACACTTATAAGTGTAGATCAACTATTCAATGACATGACTACGAGATACCCATCATGTATAAATCTCCGAGCGAGGGCCAAGCAAGTAGAGGAGAAGAATATGTGGGTTGTGATTGCATGGACCTCGGAGGTGAGATGGTGGAACCTAGATAGGGCCCAGCGAAGGAGGGGCGACGACGAGGCTGCGGTTGAAGATGGCTGTGGATTAAAGGTGGAAAACGAAGAGCATGATAGTGGGCAACTAGTATCGATCATGAACCTTGCCTATTTGGTTTCATAATCAAGGCCCTCTTCCTTCTTAAAGCAACCAACCATTGTTTCCCCCTGCTCTTTAGAGTTCGATTGCTGAGCTCGACCTTCAAGCGGTCTGGAATGCATTTCATGATTTTTGAGTAAAGGAATGTCAATGGAATGTTATATAATGCATTTTATGATTTTTGAGCAAATAAATATTTTTAGCTATATGTATGTATGTACATTTCTCTATTCCTCCTCTTTTCATTGCTAGACAAAAAAACCTTATAAACAAACACATAAGCTTAACAGATGAAGAAAAATTTTAACAACCAATGCATAAGCTTGAAAACTGACGAAAAAGTTTAATAACCAACACATAAGCTTAGCAACCAATGATAATCAATGCATAAGCTTAACAACCAATGTATAACCTTTAACAACTGATGAAAAAGCTTAATAACAAATGCATGAGCTTAACAACTAACGAAAAAGCTTAACAAACAATGCATAAGCTTAACAACTGATGAAAAAATTAACAACCAACACATAAGCTACTCAACTAACAAAAAAGCTTAGCCAATGCATATATAAGCTTAACAACCGACGAAAAAACTTAACAACAAATGCATAAACTTAACAACTAATGACTACACTTAACTACTAACGAAAAAACTAAACAAATGCATATAAGCTTAACAACTAGTACATAAACTTAACAACTAGCAAAAAAACTTAATAACAAACACATAAACTTAACAACTAATAAAAAATTTAACAATAAACAAATGTGTAAACTTAACAACCAATAAATAAGCTTAACAACTAATGAAAAAACTTAACAATAAATACAAAACCTTAACAACTAACTTATAAAATTAATAACTAACCTATAAAATTAATAACTAAGTCATAAGTTTAACAACTAACTCACAAAATTGATAGTTGATTCTTTAACTTTGAATGTTCAACTCAAATACTTCAAAATATTAAAACTATTGAACTAGGAAAAAAACTAAAGAGCAATAAAAAGTTAAGATGATTGCAGCCTAAACTTATAATTCTTTATTTTAACCTATTCTTTGTTCAATTTATCATCAATTTCTAGAGAACTTCATTGAAATCAGACTCAATCTCCACTAGCTACTCAAATATCTTCTTTGAATCATCCCAATTCACATAAATAGCCTAAATCGCACCATTTTGGGATGAAATCTCAATAAAAAAACATAGACATGAGCCCAAATCTCAAGAGTCCACCATGACCAATGAAGAGAAACAAAAAACTAAACTCTTATCATCTCCACCTCCATCAAGATCTTCTTCCCCAGTGCCATTAGCTCCCTTTCTTGCTTCTCCTCTCTTTCTTATTTTTGTAGCTCCAAAGAACCTCTTGAAACTCCATGAGCAATGGCTGTAATCCTAATACACCACTGCCGCCCAGATCTCCAACCAACTCAGATCCAAGTGGGCCCTCGACTCCCTCATCAACCCCTCCTCCAAAATCGATAGACCCAGTTTACCGCCGGCGGATCTCTCTCTCTCTCTCTCTCTCTCTCTCTCTATGTTGTTGTTATGAAATCCGCAGCTGGGGGAGGGGAGGATGGTGATGCAGGAGGCTGTGGTAGGTTTGAGGGAGGTACGAGCTCCACTATTGCCAATCAGAGATGAGGATCAGAGCGAAGGAAAGAAATTGAAATTATTTAGGGGTTTTTTATTTTAAGGGAGGAGGGATGAGGGGGCTGTCATGGTGTTTTTAGTCGCCAAATTATAGCCTCTTGCTTACAACATGCAAATATCCCCCACCACGCACCATTCAGTCAACTCGACACTTAGGGCAGCCAGAGTCGACCTAGCCGACTCGCTAAGTCAACATCTCGCTAGGTCGACTCGAATGGCGATACTTATCAGTCCTCTCATCAAAGATGACTCACTACGAATTCACTTAACCGATTAATCACTTGGCGTTTCGCTGGGTCGACTCGAAATGCGTCATTCTCGGCACCCCTTGATACAAGTTAAAAAGCAACTTCGACCTCAAACCCCCCAGCTGACAACGCATCGACATCACATTAAATGCTTGGTAGGTGCCATTATTTCTCCATCTTCAAAACTATTTATGACACATCAGACCACGCCGGCTTCATGCGCCGCCTATCCCATCTTATTAATACCGAAGTGACAATACTCATTCCGTAACCACTCCACAGCTGACGCGCATAAAGTCGACTCCATCTCTGCTGAACATAGGGATTGGATAATATCTTTGTAATTTTGATAGCTTTCTTTTAGAAGCTTGGTTTTCTCAATATTGAGACCGTGATGTACATAATTTCCATATTTTGGTGAATGAATAAAAGCATTTTTCATTGATAAAAAGTACATCACTGACTTGATCATCGAAGGAACAACGGGGGAACTAGTCTCTGTACTCTTACGAGTTGTTACACATGCAGGGAAGAAGCAACTCAATTCAAAATTAGATATTCGGAGAAGTTAGCGGCCCCCTACTCAATCTCACCCCCCATTAAATCTATGTGATTATTATCATCAATAGTTTGGTGCCCACCATGGGACCTTCTCTCTTTTCTAAACAAGTATGTCTGGTTCTGAGCATAAGGTCGATCAGTCCATCCCTGGAGGATCACATCAGAGCTACGTCACTCAAACCTAGCTTGAAGAGACGGCCTAGAAGATCTCTCAATCCATCCAACAGCAACTCGCTACCTTCACCAGCGATCTCCTCAGCCGGTTTCCACAACCACAACAAGCTACTTCCGCCA